AACTATAAGTCGATTATTATTACTATTAATATGTATTCAAGGGATAAAGAATGTTAATTAGCAACTTACAGAAATAGGGAATGTGCTAGGATGATAATGATCTCCTTGATGTCCTTCGTATTATTCCGCACACGATATGGTGCACACTTTTTGTTGATTAGAAAGTTACTTGATAAGTGGTGGGATTAAAACGCACATGGTTAACGAATATATAGTAACATTATAAAAGATATCATTACAAATATCATAGCATAGGTTTTCTTCTTACTAACTAAAGTTGATTGGAAAAACCAAAATTATGGTCATATTGTACCAAGTTTTTTCTGTTCAGTTAACAAATTTCTATAAATTTGTTAATCATATATACGCATAATAGACTGCTAGATAAATAACTTTGGCACGCCAAAGATCGGTTGCAGTTTGGCATTTCTAATAATCCCCAATATTGTTCTACATTTTGCGAAAAAACTGGTACAAACTTAGATCAAAAATGCTTGTGTACACAACTGAATACCGGAACAAGACCGATATTTTAGTTCCTAACATTAAAATTTAAATTAAAAGTCGGTATAACCGACTTTATGTGCTGAAATAACAATATTGATTGTAAAGAAATTTTTAAACAATATAAACCCTTATTTTTAAAAAAGGCTGCTAATATCTAAAAATGTTTTATTACACTTACTCAGTTAACAGTAATTTCGTCATTAAAAGCGTTCATAACCAAAGAAAAATTCCCTGAAACTGATCGCATTATAACGGCGTCTGCGAAGGAGTCCCAAAAGGGAGCTCACAAATGCGACTTGAAGGCTTTGAGGTTTTTGAGTAGTAAATGTTACAAATACAAATGCAATAGTAATTATACGCCTTTTTAACCAATAAAAGGCATTTCGCACACAAAATGGCGGGATCCAGGTGAGAAAACTTACTTGAAATGTGAGTAATTGGGTTGCATTCGTTTTTAGCTGGCTTACACACAAAAGATCACTCCTCACACTCCTCACAAACGGTTGTATTATTAAGACAATCTTTATTAAATTTAGTCGAAACTTTACCGCTCCTTAAAAAGTTTGAAGCGTCAGATACAGTGTGACCGCGTGCCTGTAATTTATTCAGAAATTAGCAGAAATTAGATGTGCGTCAAATTAGCGTCGGCCTGTTAGCAACGAAAACGGGAACGGTGGAATATGGAACATGGGGCTCTTTTTATTTTTAAATTTTCTCGCTCCAAATCGAAAAATTTAAAATGCTAGATTGTTAAGAAAGAAAAGATCTATCGAGCTAGGTAGGTTTGGGACACATACGAGGCCTATTAGTATTTCAAAAATGCATTTGAAAAATCGTGTCCCCACAATTTTGTTAACTGCTCCCCTCACAGAGGTTGTGCCAATATGCACGATAAACCAAGCTATTAAGGGTTAATTCAAGCTCCTTGTCTGAAAGTTTCATCAAAATCAAACCCACAGTTTTCGAGAAAAAAGCCTAACAGTACCGCAACCTCGGATTTTCCCCATACAAAAAAGGGGGGCAAAAATGAAATTACCTACTGCTCCACTCCTAGAGGTTGTGCCAACATGCACGGTATATGGGTAGATAGGGGATAATCTAGGGACTGTTCTGTGAAAGTTTTATCAAAATCAAACCCACAGATTTTGAGAAAATTGCTTTACAGTTGGGGTAAAAAAAAGCCGTTTAATCCAGAAACTGAACCATGAACCAAGACATGAGCCACAATGTAAATAGCTTAGCCGTGACACGCAAAACGTAAGTGTCGGCAAACGTTAGTGTCAGTAAAAAAGGGAGATAGCCTCAGCGTAAGTGTCAGTAAAAAAACGAGATGCAAGATGCGTCGTAGGTGTCAGCAAAACGTAAGCCAACGTAAGTGTCAGTAAAAAAGGGAGATAGCCTCAGCGTAAGTGTCAGTAAAAAAGCGAGATGCAAGATGAGAATGGGAGATGGAGAACGAAAGAGCGCCAAAAGAAATGGCCGACAGGCGACGCCATGTTTTTAGCAAGTACTTTTAGAGATGGGACCGACAGTTATCGGAAAATCGCAAGATCGAAAATCGATTACCTATGGTTTTGAATCTTTTGTAACTGCTGGCGATTGAGCTTTGCTAATCTATATATTACTTTCCAGCCCGATACTGCCACCATTATAGCTATTGGAGCAGCCGCAGACTTGTCATCTCGTATTTTTCTGGCCATTACAGCCGTGTGCATCCAGGTTCCCTCCCGATACATTTATTTGGCCGGAGCCGTTTTAACGGTCTTTGCTAGATTTGGTAAGGACATTCTGGAACCGAACATTTCATATCTAACATTGATTTCCCCAACAGTTTTCAATGGAATCACAGAGTTTACGGGTATGGCCTACATTACGGCCGTGATTGGATTTCTTCGAACCTGGCTACACGTCCCATTGCCCTTGGTATTTGCCGACTACTTGTCCAAGGAGAGGTAAGTCCTATGATGTTTCATATTATCATATTTCATATTATCTTCTTCTGCAGGTTCGCTACTGGCTATGGCTTGTTCATGTTCACCCAAGGCAATGCGATGTTCCTCATTGGCCCCATTGTTGGAATCATACGCGACAAGACCAAGGACTATATTCTGGTGTTCCACATCCTCAATGGCTTCATGATCCTTTGCGCCGTTCCCTGGGTCATTGAAGTGCTTATAGTTAAATTCCGGAGGCGCAACAAGATCGAACGCAACAATGTGGACCACGAGGAAGTGGAGAACCAAGGACGCAGTGCAATGGTCCATTAAAATTGTATAAGTTCTTAGGAAAATGTAACATCTTTCAACAATTAATAGAAGTAATACAAAACTCTTTAAATGAAAATAAAATATAAATGAAAAATGTCATATGGGAATATATTCTTTTGCAAGATCAATTCGAAAGTGAGACCTAACTGCTTTTTGCGTTTTAAAAATGATTTCAAATTTTGCTCGATAACTTCTTAATGTGATACAAAATACCAATAGATCGGTCACTCTTTTTGGTACCTTTCAGTATTTTGGTGATACCGTATGCCATTCGCAGTTACCCCGGCGGCGGTCACATTAACGGGACCAAAAAAAAAATTTAGTAAATAATAATTTAGTAAATAATATAATTTTTACTACAGAAGGTGACAATGCTGCAGCAAATAAAGATGCTGGTGCTGGGCATCATTACGCTGTGCCGGCGAGCGCTGTGCTGCTTCTCCAGGCGCCGGAAGCTGAGCCACAGCGGCTCCTCCGGATCCGGTGACCAACTGCAGGCGGTGAACGTGATTGTGGAGCGGGGCGACTTCGCCGCCTCCCCCGGAAACCCCACTGGCGGCCGGTCGGGGGGGCCGAAAGAGCGGGACTGGAACTCCTGGGACGACAGTCCGCGTACCGTCGAGGAGCACATCGAGCAGTACCGCCAGCGGATGGCCCAACCGCCAACGCCACCCAAGGAGGAACCCGAGCCGGATTTCTTCAGTGTGAGTTGGCACATACATATGTGCGTACGATGTAGCTGACGATTACAGTGGGGGCCAAGCTGATAGGACCCCATATTATGAAGGTTTACAAACAGAAAGTATTTGCGTACGGATAATGATATGATCGGGGACTATCTAGATATTTTGGTAATTTGTCCCTATAATAAGATTATCCTGCATATTTAGGAACTTGAATATTTAAATCGTGGTTTTTAAAATTTTATTAAAATAAAATCTCCTTTTATAGCATTATCTAGGCATTTACTACAAACCTAAGTAGACATACACATTGGAACATTTTATTTCCTAAAGATTTAATAAATATATAATATCACACATTTAAAATATAATTGTGTACATACCAAATAATTTATCAAAATCATCATGTTAAACTGAAAAAAAAATATTTTTGATTACAATTGGTCACCATGGTATTTAAACCCAAGTTTTCTGTCTTTTTAGAGTACATTTAGTAGATTGTCTTACGTTTTAACTGATCTATGATTAATATAAAGGAAGACAAGTTGAATTACGTCATTCTTGCATAACCTAACCCAAAAAATCTTAAATTAAAGAAATCTTATGAACCCCACCTTAAAAAAAAAAAAAATTCCCAATTTTTTTTACGATTTAAGAATAATATATGTGTTAGTTGAATAATATTTGCTTAAACGCAGCTGTTCGAACCTCTGATACTGTTGGTATAAAGTTATTAATTCCACGACATCAATTTGTCAATAACTCGATGTCTGACCAACAGAAGGTTAAATATTATACAAACCACAATAGAATGCCTAGTTAAAGGCTTAAACCCAATACTAATATGAAAACCATCTAAAAAAGACCTAATTTTGATTTCCTTTTTCCAGGAGCTAACGCCCACCATTAAGCCGCAGATGAAGTTCTATCTGGAGGATCCATCCGCGGCGGCAGCGGCCAGCCAACCGAGTGACTTTTCAAGACTGCAGGCCCAGGACCTGGTGCCCATTAGCAATAACGTAAGCTGATGGCGCTCAAAGCTGAGCATTAAGTGGCGTAATCTATATGAGTACGATATATCCCTCTTGGCAGGCCGATCTCGAGGACTGGGTGGACGACAATGCTGGCGGCTGGGAGGAGCTGGACACCTCCCAGACCAAGCAGATCCTGCGGGAGAAGCGTCGCGAGTTGCGCCACCAGCGACAGCCGGCTGTCCGGCCAGCCCCGCCCACTGTGGGGGCCCAGCGGCTCACCGACGGACAACGAGCGGCGTAGTTGTCGCTGCACCATCCCCCAACCCCAACCAACCTCATCATCCAGCACTCCCACTCTGACCATTCCACAATCGACCACTTGCATTCTGTTTCCCCTTTCGTTTGTTCGATTTAGTTGATTGGCCACACGAAATAAATCTTGCCTTTCACTCGCACTTCCCTCCTCGCGGATCAGTTGGGCCACACTTCCTGATGGCTCTGCGGTTATGGTCACGCTCCATTGGTCTCGCTTCTATGTGGAGTGGAGTGGACTCGAGCCAAAACTCACAACTCGAGTCCATAAAAGCAACACCCGGCGGCGGGAGTCGCAGCTTTCAGTACGATGCTGCTGCCGGAGCTGCTGCTACTCGGCTTGGCCGTCTCCCTGGCGGATAGTTACGACCGGAGTGTCAACTACTGGGAAGCCTTTGCGCCCGGCAAGCTGCTCCAGCGTCTGGATGCCCTCACCGTCAGCGATGTGGATCAATCGAAGGTGGCCAGGCTGCCTGAGATGATGCAACCCGTCCTGGCAGCCACCAATCAAGCGCAGGCGAAGGCGGATGAGGATGTGGACTTGGATGTGGATGTCGAGGCTGAGGGGAATACGGCCGACGAGGACGACGTGGACAGTCTCAGTGCGGAGGCCAGCCACGAGGGATTCTCCGGCGAGGATTACGAGCGCAACTACGAGCAGTTCGTCAAGGAGTACTTTGATCAGGCTGCCGACAACCACTATCACGACCACGACGACGACGATCTGGAGGAGGAGACACAGGCGGAGGCCACCAATGTCAAAGACCAGCGCTGTCGACGGGTCAAGCGGAAGGACGGCCAGCTGTGCGAGATCTGCCGCCAGTTGAAGAACAACGAGGTGTCGGAGACGTGCAGTTACTCGCATGACGACCAGCCGGAGCAGTATGCTTATGGCAGTGGCACCCAGTTCAAGCGCTACCGCAACGATCCCGCCGAAAAGAAGGAGAAGGATGGCCAAGAGGAGGCGGAGCCGGTGGCACCCAGCAGCCTGTGCGTTCGCCGCCAGCAGGACAACAGTGTCTGCTACGAGTGCAAGGACAGCAAGGGCCAGAAGATCGAGCGCTGCTACGATGTCCAGGCCCGCAAGGCCAAGACAAGAAAGAAGAAGGCATCGTCCTCGTCCTCGTCAACTCCCACCACTTCACAGAAACGGAAACCGCGTTCCCAGCAGTCCCAGCAGTCGGAGCAGGAGCAACGCATCTACAAGCGCACCATCAGCTACAGCTATGCCCAGGGCACGGATCAGCAGCAGGAGGAGCAGCCTCCTCCAGATGGAACAACAACGGATCTGCCGGTTCCACGCCAACGTCGCCGGCGGCTGGTGAAGATTACGCGCCGACGCGGACCAGTCCGAGTCCAATGACCTTGTTCTGTTTCGTTTTCGTATCGCCCAACTCATTGTATCCCCCACTCACTAGCTTAGTCTAATTATTACACACGTTTTTTGTTACAATAAACCATTTTATAAAACCACGTTGCATATTTGTCGGCTAGTCAGCTAGCAAATATTAAAAATGAAAAGAGAATGAAACTAAACAATGTTTAAGATTAGGATCCTAAAAGGTACAATTTCAGAAGTTTTCAAAAATGCTTTTGAAACCATAAAGGAAGATCCAAAATATGGAAACGTAGTAATAAATTTTAAGGATTTCCTGCTTCGCAAAAATATATTTTAAATTTCCTAACAATGCAATAATTACAAGAAATTATATATGAAATATAATATCAGGCCAAATTGTAATGCGAAGAGAAATTTGTTAAGATTTGCGAATTGAAAGGTAAAATATATTCCTTTTCAAAAATTACAGAACAAATTACAAACCTAATAATTGTGTAATAAAAATATGATATATGAAAAATAAAAATGTGGCAACGAAAATGCAGTATTTTAAGCACCTCTTTCATGGATTCCTATGAGGGATAAATAAGACTCTTTAAATTGATTTCAATTGAACAACAAAACTTTCACAAAAGTCGTTTATTAGCGCCATTTCCTATTCGTTTTATTTATTCATAAAACCACAAATATTTTCCTTACTGGATGCGACAATTTGCCATTAAACGTACACAAAGACCGGTGGTCCGAACAACATTGACTTAAATATAATTTTGGAGCTGCCGAAAGAAGACATTTTCATTCTGCCATTCAGAAAGAGACAGCTAGAGAGCAGTGAAAAAGATAGATATAGTGATTTGTGATAAATGCAGCTTTCGGAATTGTTAACGTTTCGTTTCGGTTCGGCATGCAATTAGGATCACAACGCCCTAAAAATGAAACCATACTCAAAAAACACTCGAATATATAGCACACGTAAAGGGTATGAAACCGAGTTCCTAGCCTATAAATTTGAAAATTTCTATTGTTGCTGCAGTGCTTTGTGCGAAAAAAGGACATTGAATATTTATTGTTATATGAACTGCATTTGCTTGTGCTTTGAGAGAGAAAATTAAGTAAAAGATTTCAATTTTTCTTTGCACACTTTCACATTTTTGTTTTGAACCCAATGACAATAATAATAAAATGTTGAGAACTCCTAGTAGATTTTTCTCATTTTAGAACAATTTAGTTGGATAACATTTAATTTTAGACAATGGTACTTAATTTAGTATAAACCCGTTTGGTGGCTGCTACTTATCATGAAATTGATTGATTTCATATGAAAGATGGGATCATGGCTGATGGTTTCGATATTAAGCCCTATATTTCTTTGCTTTCAAAACCTCGTTGAGTTCGCTAGCTAAACACTTTCGATTCATTGGATATTTCGCAAGTTATTCGTTGGCTATATAAATAGGTACATTATAAGTAGTTAATTATAGATATCTATATAAATTGGCTGGCCTAAAACGTGGATCATCGTGTAAATATGACGGCTATCGTTATTACTAAAGCTTTTACTTCCTTATCGTCATTACATTATCGTGGTATTCTTACTTTCTGTTCGAACATTTTGTGGCTGCGTTGCTTTCGTTATGTTAACATTTGCGTTTCAACTAGGGTTAAATATCTAGCAGTACGATAATATATGAATATAAATCTTTAAAGCTTTGTTTGCACGAGAATGCCGCGCAGGACACTCCATACATATTACTCTCCCTACATTCGCACAACCCTCACTCGACGTGGGACGATTACATTTTATAAACAAAAGAAAAAAAGAGGAAATAAAACTTAAGAAGCTAACTCTCTTAGAAATATAAACATATGTGAACTATATATATATTTGCAATATATAATTAAAAACAATTGAAACATTAAAGGTAAACAATTTATAGATTTTGTAATTTTTCAGTGATTGGCACAAGAGTTTCGAGTAGACGACGCAAAAAAATGGCTAAAAACATATATGTATGTATAAACAAAAAGCGCTTAATCACAAATAAAAACAATTTGCATTTTAAAACGTATATGTAGGTAGATTTAACTAGGATACGATCTAGCTGCAGTTGTTGTTGCTGTGCCTGCCGAGGCTGCTGAGGCTGGCCTCGGTCTCCTCCTCGCTGGGGGCTCCTTGAATGGCTTCAGCCGCTCCAGTTCCAGCTCCTGGCGATCCAGCCATGGCTGCTGTCGAGGGCGTAATGGCCTTGGGTGCGAAGTAAACCTCGTAATTGTAATATCAAAGCTCTTCGCTGGCCAGTTTCTGCTCCTGCACGTACTCCTTGGGGAAGTAGCCCACCTGAAATGGCACAATACTCTCAAAAACAACCCAATTTGTTGCGTCAGCTCAGCTTAGCTCACCGTGTCGCCGATCTTGCCACGCCACCAGCCCTTGCTGTCGCCGTCCTTTCCAATGACCAGCACCTGGCAGTCGGTGCGCAACTGCAGCTGATTGCTGCCAGCCTTCGGCTCGTAATCATAGAGAGCGGTGGCGATCACCTCCTTGTAGGGCCACTGAAGTGACTGATTGAGCCTGACAAAAGACGCACAAGTGGTTAAAATAAGTACATAGGTATTACTCTGCTTTTAGCCTACCCTGCAAAGTTCTCCCCCAAATCGTTGCGTTCGTAGTAGGAAACAAGCTCGACAATGGTCTTGAAATGCCTTCGCGATGACAGGCAGTAGAGCATGGAGTCGCCGGAGTTCTCCTGGTTGATTTTCATATGCTTGATCACATGATCATCGGTTCTAGGAAAGGAATATTGAAACTGGAGATCTATATAAAGCTAGTCGGGCGCACTCACTTTAGGCTGAGGGCATACATCGTCTCGTGGGCCGTGGACGGACCCTGGGGACGCACGCGGAGCAGATAGGTGCCTATGCGGCGGTTCTCCAGCCGATGGGCCGCCGTCTCCCGGTCCATGTTGCCCGCAAACCAATTAAACTCGGACAGCTGTCGATCGCAGACGGGCGGCGGCACGCTCACCGGATTCTGTTTGCAGCGACCCGTCGACGAGATGCAGCCCTTGTGCACGCTGATCTGGCACACCTTGCACCGATAGCCCTGGTGGATGCGTCCCTTGAGGAATTTGGAGCAGTGGCGGCACGTGGTCGGGGCGTCGAACGTATAGATCTCCATTTTGTGGTCGGTACTTCTGCAGCCGGGCGGTTCCAGGCTTTCCCTTAAAGTGCAAGAGATATATACATCACTTGAGAACTAAATTAAGGGGGACTACAATGCATACATGGCCTCGGTAAGGGCCTTGCGCCACTTATCCCGCTCGTGCTCCGACTTGAGGTACAAGGTGAAGGCTGTTTTGCCCGACTTGCGGGCCAGGAGCAGCTGGTACTTAAAGCGCGTATCCCGGCCGAGGGTCCGTCGCGAATGGCTCTGCTCCACCCGATAGTCGGCCAGGTTGTGGGAGTCGCGGTAGGTGTACTGCATGTCGCCCGTCTTGATGTGCAGCGCCTTCACCATGATGAGGATTTTGTCGAAGACGAATGCATAGCGCAGCTTGGTCTTCTGATCCTCATGCGCCTTGATATGCAGCTCGCCGTCGAGGAGCAGGCGGCCATATTGCAGCAGATCACTCCCATTGCCATTCTGCAGCAGATGGAGATCGAAGATGCTGTCCTTCACCTTCTGTATGATAACCAAGTGGTCGGAGTCGCGCTTCACCTCGTTGATATACTGGGACACATCGATCATGGCCTCCTTAGCCCGCTCCAGCGATCGGTAGTCGTCGTGCAGCGGCGACGTCTCCTTCACCAGCTTGTCCAGCAGCAGGTGGTACTTGAGAATGCGCTGCATGGGCACCGACAGGATGTCCCGCAGCTGCAGTTTGCCCACATTGTAGTCCCGTTCGCACTTCTGCACCAGCTGGTCGATGATCTGGTTTTTTTTGCACACATCCGCCAAATAGTCGATGGCGCCCAGCAGGCAGGAGCAGTACTCGCCGTAGATGAGAAAGGGTTCACGGAACTCGAGGAACACCTGGGCCATCTTCAATTTGGCATTGGGCGTCAGGGATTCCCGCAGCTTGTCCAGGAACTTTGTGTGGATGTCGGCCAGCTCCTAAAAGACAAAAATTGGGAAATGTAGTTTTAAGAAACGAACAAATGCCAAGTTCTAAATATTGTCTACGCTGAGAACTCTTCTTTTCACTTATTCGAGAGAAACGTTCTTAAAAGCAAAAGAAAGTTCTCTTAGACTTTGTTTTTCCAGAAGAAACTTTCTTGAAATCAAGACGATTTCATTTTCAGGGAGCTTTAACTCACTCTGATGCGCGGGAATATGACACGCAGCTCGTCCTTATTGAGATGCCGCTCCAGCGGTCCCATGAACTTAGTCTTCAGCGCTGTGAGCACATCCAGGTAGTTGGACTCCGTGTCAATTAGCTCCCGGATGACGTAGTCGCGCTGCTCGAAGCTCGTCGACGAGGCGGTCTAAATGGAGGGCAAAAAAGAAGGACGATGGAGGTGAGTCCGGGATTAGTGCGGTCAGAACTCGGGCCAAAGTGACTGGGCCACCGGAATGGGTGTCTCATGCACGGACAGGCGGTGGTTCGGTTCGCAATTCTACCTGGCTTCTACTCGTCCTGTGCAGCGCGCACAGATCTTGGTACACCTCCTCTTCTTTTGTGTTGGTGTGGTCGTAACCGGTTCCATTGCATGCAATATTGTCGGTGGTACTAAACGAAAATAAAGGCCGAAAAGAAATAAAAATCAAAATATGAAATCAAAATGGGGTATGGAATATATTTTGGGGGAAGAGGAGTTCCTATTGAAAAGCATAACAAAATATAATAAGGGGGCCAAAGAGGAGATCTGCGAATTCATAAGGTTAATATAATTTAAACAATATTTACTTTTTAACAAATTTCATTAAAAAAAATGTTTTACTGTAAGAAACTACTTTTCTGGAAATAAATAAATAATACATTTCTGTTCATTTAAATTTAAATTCGATAGTCCGTCCAGCAGTTAATCGATTTCCATCCCGATAACTAACAGTCAGCTGCTGCGATATCGAACATCGATATATTGACATATTTGTCACATCCCTAACTCCCCTTTTACTGACTCTTACGTTTGC